CTACAACAGAGACAATAAGGCGGCAGAGAAGGTGGAATCAACAACCTGTCTGTAATAGAGAATGGTAAAAAAGCTATCATCTGCAATAGCCTATGACATTCAAAACGCCTTCCATGACAGTATGATTGAGTTTGCTAAAGGATTAACTGACTGGAAATTGTCTTCTTGTGAATAGGAATACTTCTTTAGCTTACAGTGGCGCAAAAAGAAATCTACGGTTAGAAAATACATTTTCGCATAATTCTTGAAAAGAGATCCTGTTTTAAAAACTGGTGTGCAAGGACTTCCATAATCTCGCTCTATATGGGGGTAAGTTTGCTGCTTGTGCTGTTGAGTAAGACAAAGTTCTCGATAGGTAGATTTTAATGTTTATTAGAAGACGAGTAACGCCTGGAGTCTTACTTGCAGAAGCAAAAACAGTCACCCTGATTCGGATAGTTTTTATGTTATAGTTGTATCGGAAAGAAATAGAAAACCAAGAACAGTCTTGCAATTCATTGACTGCCAAGGCAATGGCAACCAAGGTTCAATGAAGCATAACTCCAAAAAAATCCAATGTGACGGCGTGTATCACCTCTCTCTTGGTACTAGTTCTATATGGGGCTATTTAAGCTGGCCACGGACTCCGCAGTAGTTGAGCACCTCCAATGCCAGATGTATCTCGTCTGACATGGTAGCATAAAAGGACTACCAGTACCTGAGACATCGTTCTTATGAATGAGATGTGACCGTAGAGGAAAAAATGCGAAATGCGTCTATACCTATGAGTAAGGGGGAGGTGCCTAACGGGTGAGATCTGGTCTTGTATGAGTTATGCGTCAGTACTACGAAACAGGAATACGCGCAGGTGTGAGGACTACCTCAACAGACTTCATGGGTCTGCATTGGTAACTAAAATCATCCCAGCTACTTGCTATTAAATAGGCGTAGCAATTAGATACAGGAGAACACTGTAGGCTCCATGTGGAATCCTACGTTGAAAATAAAAGGAAATTCTGTAGTCACTGTCGGACGCCTGACCGTTATGAAGGAGTTTTCAACAGATCTTTTGAAAGTGAATCATCCAATAATAACCTCTCCAGTAAGAGCAGCTGTGGAATTTTTAAAAAAAAACAGTATTCGTTCGATCTCCCGTCGCATAATTAATATCTCTAATAGTCATTCAGCTTGCAAGTATGAGAATCAAAATTCTTGTTCTATAAAACTAGAATTGCATATAAATGTAAAACTACCGAAAGCTACATGAATGTGAGTAGTTTTATGGACTAGCCACAAGAAGTTAGCATGTCTAATCAAAACAGCCTTTGAGGATCGAAAGTCTTACCTAAGATCTGGGCGCATGTGTGGATGAATGTCACAACGGCGAGTAGCGATCCGCTTTTGGTTTTGTTCCTCATGTTGCTGTTGAATGTTAGTTCCTTCTCACTAGGGAAGGTATGCGACTATTAATTCCGCCAACAGAAGACGTTTAGCAGTCACCGCGGCACCGTGGAGCAGCACGTTCTGACAAAGTGTTACCTCGACAGTACATTGGCACTGATTCATATTGACATAAAAACCAGTTTCGCTCCCTTTCCTCCTGTTCATCTAAAACAAACAAGCCATTCAGGAAAATGCTGCCCGTTCTCTGGCACCAGCTCTGTGAGAAGTTTGTTAGCAAAACTTCGCTGCTATCGGTAAGGAATGGTATCAGCTTCACCTGTTTCATATGTGATTTGATGAACGACTAATTTATAGGTCGTCCAAGAAAAACTTTACACTGAGCGATGTTCAGATGTTGTCTTTCACTGTCTTTGATATTAGATGCTGCGAGCCTGGAAAACATTATTTTTCCTTGTAAAAATGTCAATACCACAGCAGAGGTCAAACTCTATTTTTCTGTAAATTTATCAAATAAGGTCTACGCCATTTTTTCGCACATTGTTGCAAATTGAAGATTTATAGCCATATGGTGACAAGTGACAACGATGCAGCATTACTGAAGTAGATAAATCTATTCAACATACGAACTAAAACTCTTCTCCATCGCGCGAACCCAGAACAAACGACAAGGGACACACTGGTCACCGTGAATGTTTATGACAGATGTCTCAGTGTCCACCTCAGAACCGAGAATTCCCGGATTGGAGCGCCGGGATTAATAAATCATTCGTCTTTCTTCCTTCCGAGATTAATAAACCAGTACTACGCCACTGGAAAGAAACATGGCACCACGCAGTGTGATCGACGCAGCTGCTACCAAGTACATCTTGAAAAAAATAAAGCACTTTTGACTGATAGCATAGCGACAGATATAAACACAGTACGACAAACGCCACAAATGGCTGGCCATTTCCAATCATGAAAGTGTAGTGGTACCGACTTCTCAACTGTTAAAAACTTGAATTTTTTTCCATTTTTTACTGTATTCCTGGAACTCTTGTCTAAATTTCACTGAGCTACAAAGTTGTCACCATTGTTTGTCATTATGTCAAAGTAACTGTGTTGCAGCAACGCAAAAGTAATCATGATATAAGTAATCATGATAGAAGTACAAACAGTCTTTGCACAGCCAGAACCGTAAAAGTGTTCAGTGTAGCTGATTTCGACACGCGTAAATCGTCATCTTCCGGTCTGCTGATATAGATTACACTGGATTTTACATTCTTCATTTTAAAAACTTTATATTTTGTGCTAAAAATTTGCGGCAATTTTTAGGCAGCCTTTACGCTGATGTAATCGCACGCAGCAGACAACACAGACATATGTGTCGCACGCTCTGGAATGACTACGTTTGATCACCACGTCACATTTACTAAGCGTTTTTCACAAAGTTGGAGTTTTTGCACGTTTACGGAGTTGGAGCTCAACGAGGAAGAGTCTACTCCACTGTTTGAGTTAAGACATTTAAATGTACTCAAATGCAAACAAACCACTTACCCAGAATCGAGAGGTCGCGGTTAGGCACACGAACCAGTCACTTACCTTTCTTGCTTCTGCTGTAGATAAATGAGAAGCAAAATAGAAGACTACTAGCTTTTCTTCCAATATAGCTCAAGACTCGACCTTCAAAATGAAGCACGCGTGGCTAATGGCACGAAACGAGGACCACTGCCGCGCCATGACCTTCCTGGGGCAGAACAGAACCACAAATGGTCCGTAATCACGAAGGTCTAAGGGCGGCCAACATCCTCCAAGCTTATTTATTCACTGTGCCACTACCACTTACAAACAGTATCCGGTTCAGAGTAATTAGAGAATAAAACTTACCGTGTATGCGAAATCTCCTCGTGCCAATTTTATTGTATATATAATTAACTTCAGATCAAAATAATTTTGCAAACTAATTCTACAATTAAGAACTGCATGTAGGGATAATTCAAAGTCTACTTTTTAAACACTAGAGAATTCATGGTCATATTTAATATTTAATGCAACTGAATCGTATGAAACAGCCCTTAAACGAAAATTTTAAGAGATTAATCCTGATGCGGATGTATGACTTTTGAGGATACCAATGTCGTTATAGCACATTTTTGGGACTGCTCCTGGAACACTTCAACGAATAAACGTTCGAACTAACTTTTTAGTCGATGTTGGCTGCAATACGAGCCCATGCAAGGTTGTGTGACCGGGGCTGGACATTTTTCTTATTGCTGTTAAAACCCTTAACGAACAAGCACAGGAGAATCAACTGATTACATCATTTTTTAGCAGGTATTTAAACGCCACTGCAATTGTTTCAGTAATAAATTATTCCTGTTAACATTTTTTTGTCAATATCTGAACATGGAAAGTTGACAGATGATAAAACGTGCCAAACTTGTACCACCTTATTCGTAAGAGGCAAGTGGTGGTGGTGTCTAGTGGTGTCTAGATAATCAATCATGCGTTATCCGTTTCTAGCTATGTCTTCACGATCTAGTTTCCTGATTTTCTCAAACCGATCATGGCATTCTGCTTCAGGCCCTGAAGTTTACAATTTTACAGCTACAAATTATATTTTATGCAATCATAGCAAAATGACTGCTTCGATTTTGAAGTTCTTGTCAAAACACTTATATCACGCACGCTTAAAGCTTGCCTACGTTTCAGAAATGGATTCTTTCAAGCTTTAACCACCCGCTTCATCCGTCCCTGTCATCTGGTATATCCCTCATCAAGTGCGGCTGAAAAAACAACATATACTGTTGGACGGAACTAAGAGGAAATTCGCCATTCCTTCTTTGGTTCGTTATATGAGCGATCTATCATCATCTGCTGACAGATGGTGCAAAAACCTATTTAATTAGTCTACCGCCTAACGCGTACTATATTATACTTTTTTGCCGTTCTGCTGTGCTGAAAGATAAGAGGATGCTTTTTACATGCAAGCAGTAAACGCTTTTGTTCATTCATAGCTGCCGCTTCATTTCGTGATTCTGAGGTAATTCTGAGCTGACAGATGGCACAGTTTCTCAAGTTATATGATTAACTAACGGATTCTATTGAAGTGCTGTACTTCGAATGTACAAGATAAACCCTTCCGTCGACTCATCTGAAGAATCGTGTCTGTTACCTGTATGCCTATTCTGTACACCTAAGCAAATAACACAAAGATCATATGTAGAACGGAAAAAAGGCAGATACCCAAAGTATTGGTATATCGCATTGAGCCGGTATGTTTCAGTGGCGATTACGGTAATAGCCAGGTGGTGAGTTGTCAGTACAGCAAGATACGAGAGAAACAACGACCACAGCTCATGCTCTTACAGCATCTGATAAGCTATCCGTCAATCAAACCGTACATTGCGGAGACCAAAGTGCGCATTCGCAAG